CCGCCGTCACAGAACCGCCGTCACAGAACCGCCCACACAGAACCGCCCACACAGAGCCGCCCACACATAGCCGCCGACACAGAGCCGCCCACACAGAGCCACCGACACAGAGCCGCCCACACAGAACCGCCCACACAGAACCGCCGTCACAGAACCGCCCACACAGAGCCACCCACACAGAACCACCGACACAGAACCGCCCACACAGAACCGCCGTCACAGAACCACCGTCACAGAACCGCCCACACAGAACCGCCCACACAGAGCCGCCCACACAGAGCCGCCCACACAGAGCCGCCCACACAGAACCGCCCACACAGAACCGCCCACACAGAACCGCCGTCACAGAACCGCCGTCACAGAACAGCCGTCACAGAACCGCCCACACAGAACCGCCCACACAGAACCGCCCACACAGAACCGCCCACACAGAACCGCCCACACAGAACCGCCGTCACAGAACCGCCGTCACAGAACCGCCGTCACAGAACCGCCCACACAGAACAGCCGTCACAGAACCGCCCACACAGAGCCGCCCACACAGAACCGCCCACACAGAACCGCCGTCACAGAACCGCCGTCACAGAACCGCCCACACAGAACCGCCCACACAGAACCGCCCACACAGAACCGCCCACACATAACCGCCCACACAGAACCGCCCACACAGAACCGCCGCCCACACAGAACCGCCCACACAGAACCGCCCACACAGAGCCACCGACACAGAGCCGCCCACACAGAACCGCCCACACAGAACCGCCGTCACAGAACCGCCGTCACAGAACCGCCCACACAGAACCGCCCACACAGAACCGCCCACACAGAACCGCCCACACAGAACCGCCCACACATAACCGCCCACACAGAACCGCCCACACAGAACCGCCCACACAGAACCGCCGTCACAGAACCGCCGTCACAGAACCGCCCACACAGAACCGCCGTCACAGAACCGCCCACACAGAGCCGCCCACACAGAACCGCCGTCACAGAACCGCCGTCACAGAACCGCCCACACAGAACCGCCCACACAGAGCCGCCCACACATAGCCGCCGACACAGAGCCGCCCACACAGAGCCACCGACACAGAGCCGCCCACACAGAACCGCCCACACAGAACCACCGTCACAGAACCGCCCACACAGAGCCGCCCACACAGAACCACCGACACAGAACCGCCCACACAGAACCGCCGTCACAGAACCACCGTCACAGAACCGCCCACACAGAACCGCCCACACAGAGCCGCCCACACAGAGCCGCCCACACAGAGCCGCCCACACAGAACCGCCCACACAGAACCGCCGTCACAGAACCGCCCACACAGAACCGCCCACACAGAACCGCCCACACAGAACCGCCGTCACAGAACCGCCCACACAGAACCGCCGTCGAAGAACCGCCCACAGTCAGAACCGCCCACACAGAACCGCCGTCACAGAACCGCCGTCACAGAACCGCCCACACAGAACCGCCCACACAGAACCGCCAACACAGAACCGCCGCCCACACAGAACCGCCCACACAGAACCGCCCACACAGAACCGCCCACACAGAACCGCCCACACAGAACCGCCGCCCACACAGAACCGCCGACACAGAACCGCCGTCACAGAACCGCCCACACAGAACCGCCGTCACAGAACCGCCCACACAGAACCGCCTTCACAGAACCGCCCACACAGAACCGCCGTCACAGAACCGCCCACACAGAGCCGCCCACACATAGCCGCCGACACAGAGCCGCCCACACAGAACCGCCCACACAGAACCACCGTCACAGAACCGCCCACACAGAGCCGCCCACACAGAACCGCCCACACAGAACCGCCCACACAGAACCGCCCACACAGAACCGCCCACACAGAGCCGCCCACACAGAGCCGCCCACACAGAGCCGCCCACACAGAACCGCCGTCACAGAACCGCCCACACAGAACCGCCCACACAGAACCGCCGTCACAGAACCGCCCACACAGAACCGCCCACACAGAACCGCCCACACAGAACCGCCCACACAGAACCGCCCACACAGAACCGCCCACACAGAACAGCCGTCACAGAACAGCCGTCACAGAACAGCCGTCACAGAACCGCCCACACAGAACCGCCGTCACAGAACCGCCCACACAGAACCGCCCACACAGAACCGCCCACACAGAACCGCCCACACAGAACCGCCCACACAGAACCGCCGTCACAGAACAGCCGTCACATTACAGCCGTCACAGAACAGCCGTCACAGAACCGCCCACACAGAACCGCCCACACAGAACCGCCCACACAGAACCGCCGTCACAGAACCGCCGTCACAGAACAGCCGTCACAGAACCGCCCACACAGAACCGCCCACACAGAACCGCCCACACAGAACCGCCCACACAGAACCGCCGTCACAGAACCGCCGTCACAGAACAGCCGTCACAGAACCGCCCACACAGAACCGCCCACACAGAACCGCCCACACAGAACCGCCGTCACAGAACCGCCGTCACAGAACCGCCGTCACAGAACCGCCGTCACAGAACCGCCCACACAGAACAGCCGTCACAGAACCGCCCACACAGAGCCGCCCACACAGAACCGCCCACACAGAACCGCCGTCACAGAACCGCCGTCACAGAACCGCCCACACAGAACCGCCCACACAGAACCGCCCACACAGAACCGCCCACACAGAACCGCCCACACAGAACCGCCCACACATAACCGCCCACACAGAACCGCCCACACAGAACCGCCGCCCACACAGAACCGCCCACACAGAACCGCCCACACAGAACCGCCCACACAGAGCCACCGACACAGAACCGCCCACACAGAGCCACCCACACAGAACCGCCGTCACAGAACCGCCGCCCACACAGAACCGCCCACACAGAACCGCCCACACAGAACCGCCGTCACAGAACCGCCGTCACAGAACCGCCGTCACAGAACCGCCCACACAGAACCGCCCACACAGAACCGCCCACACAGAGCCGCCCACACAGAGCCGCCCACACAGAGCCGCCCACACAGAACCGCCGTCACAGAACCGCCCACACAGAACCGCCCACACAGAACCGCCGTCACAGAACCGCCGTCACAGAACCGCCCACACAGAACCGCCCACACAGAACCGCCCACACAGAACCGCCCACACAGAACAGCCGTCACAGAACAGCCGTCACAGAACAGCCGTCACAGAACCGCCCACACAGAACCGCCGTCACAGAACCGCCCACACAGAACCGCCCACACAGAACCGCCCACACAGAACCGCCCACACAGAACCGCCCACACAGAACCGCCGTCACAGAACAGCCGTCACAGAACAGCCGTCACAGAACAGCCGTCACAGAACCGCCCACACAGAACCGCCCACACAGAACCGCCCACACAGAACCGCCGTCACAGAACCGCCGTCACAGAACAGCCGTCACAGAACCGCCCACACAGAACCGCCCACACAGAACCGCCCACACAGAACCGCCCACACAGAACCGCCGTCACAGAACCGCCGTCACAGAACAGCCGTCACAGAACCGCCCACACAGAACCGCCCACACAGAACCGCCCACACAGAACCGCCCACACAGAACCGCCGTCACAGAACCGCCGTCACAGAACCGCCGTCACAGAACCGCCCACACAGAACAGCCGTCACAGAACCGCCCACACAGAGCCGCCCACACAGAACCGCCCACACAGAACCGCCGTCACAGAACCGCCGTCACAGAACCGCCCACACAGAACCGCCCACACAGAACCGCCCACACAGAACCGCCCACACAGAACCGCCCACACAGAACCGCCCACACAGAACCGCCCACACATAACCGCCCACACAGAACCGCCCACACAGAACCGCCGCCCACACAGAACCGCCCACACAGAACCGCCCACACAGAGCCACCGACACAGAACCGCCCACACAGAGCCACCCACACAGAACCGCCGTCACAGAACCGCCGCCCACACAGAACCGCCCACACAGAACCGCCCACACAGAACCGCCGTCACAGAACCGCCGTCACAGAACAGCCGTCACAGAACCGCCCACACAGAACCGCCCACACAGAACCGCCCACACAGAACCGCCCACACAGAACCGCCGTCACAGAACCGCCCACACAGAACCGCCCACACAGAACCGCCGTCACAGAACCGCCGTCACAGAACCGCCGTCACAGAACCGCCCACACAGAACCGCCGTCACAGAACCGCCCACACAGAGCCGCCCACACAGAACCGCCCACACAGAGCCGCCCACACAGAACCACCGTCACAGAGCCGCCCACACAGAACCGCCCACACAGAACCGCCCACACAGAACCGCCCACACAGAACCGCCAACACAGAACCGCCAACACAGAACCGCCCACACAGAACCGCCCACACAGAACCGCCCACACAGAACCGCCGCCCACACAGAACCGCCGCCGCCACAGAACCTCCCACACAGAACCTCCCACACAGAACCGCCCACACAGAACCGCCCACACAGAACCGCCCACATAGAACCGCCCACATAGAACCGCCCACATAGAACCACCCACATAGAACCGCCCACATAGAACCGCCCACATAGAACCACCTCTCTTGAACCAAAACCAGGACAAACTAAAGTAAGCAGAGGTTAAGGGCATCCATGGCATGAATTAGACTCTGAACTTTCCAGAAACTCCTCTGGATGCAGGTTCATCTCCACCAACTTGAAACATCTCCAGACTGAAATCTTTTCGCTAAACATCTGAAGCTCAGGCAGACTGGATGGATAACACCTGTAATATCAGTTATTTACAGATTCTCAGGTTGATTAGGTTTGGACTTGGACTAGGCCATTCCAGCCCATAAATCTGCTCTAATCCAACCTCAGATATTTAGGTCTGTACTTGGAATGGCGTATTTCTGGTCTAATGGTCTAAATCCTGCAGTTTCTTCTTCTTGATCTTTTAAACATGTTTTAGTTGGAGATCAAGGTGATCATTGTTCTTCTGTGGTTTCTGTGCAGAAAGCATCTCTGGAGGCGTCCCTGGATGACATTCAGAGCAGATATGCCATGCAGCTGTCCAGACTCCAATCCATGGCGAGTTCCGTCCGCTTCTGTTTGTTTTGATTTGTGAAAAGTGGGAGGAGCTCAAATCTAACCTGAGCTGCGTCTGCAGGTATCGTCACTGGAGGAGCAGCTGATGAACCTGAGAGGAGACATTCAACAACAGTCTGAGAATTACAAGTTGCTGCTGGACCATAAGACCCGGCTGGAGATGGAGATTGCAGAGTACAGGAGGCTGCTGGATGGAGAGGGAGGCGGCAGGTGAGGCTCGCACCTTCCAGACCCCACCCTGACCTCTACAGGTGATCCAAACACTTATTTGAGCTCTGATTGGTCCACAGTTCCTCCTCATCCACCACAACCCGGCGAGTGGTGACTGTGGTGGAGGACAACGTCGACGGGAAGGTGGTTTCCTCCTCCTCCGTTACTCATTGAGGCAGCCAATCAGCTTCTTTCCTGCTGACTCACCTGAGAATAAAACGAGAGTCCAAATCAGCTCCAGGAGTCCGTCTTTATTTATATCCCCAGAACTTTAACAGGTTTCGTCCTTCGCAGTGAGCCTGCAGGTGAGGCTCGGAACCAGTAAAGATCAGGTCCAGTAAATGTTCCCAGTATCCTGTCCTCGAAAAGTCAGGTTAATTTAAAAAGCAATTCTGCTATGATTCCTTTGAGATGAGGACAAATAAACACATTTATAATAAAATAATAAACTAAAGAAATAAAGGTTCTGAAAACCGAAAAAAAAAAACATGAGAAGACTCCTAGAAACAGGAAGTTGGAATAAAACAACTTTAAACTGAGGTGAACGGAGGCTGTGTCTCAACCACCGCCCTAAGCCCCACATAGAGAACCATGTATTCAATTCTATTCAGTCTATTTCTATAGCTCTAATTCACAACACATGTCATCTCAAGGGAAATGCACTTCAACCAGATTATACAGTTAAATTGAAAGTTTTCTATCTAAGGAAAACCAGCTGATTGCATCGACTCATTGACTCTTCAGCAATCCCTCACACTCAGCATGCTTGTAGCGACAGTGGAGAGGAAAAACTCCCTTTGAACAGGAAGAAACCTCCAGCAGAACCAGGCTCAGTGTGAGCGGCCATCTGCTGAGGCCGACTGGGGTTCAAGGAGACAGAAGCAGACATAGAAAAAGAAGCATAGATACAAAAGGCAACTGTCAACCAGCTCCACAGGCGGCCCCGTCCAGGAAACACACAGCCAGGCAGACGAGCTCCGAGCCAGCTCCCATGTCAGAGGATGAAGAGAGCACATCCAGTTAGTCACAGTCAGAGAAACAGGACTACACTGGAAAACAGGCCAAGCTCCAACATCTAGAAACAAAGGTGTTGATGGCAGCAGCACAGCTGATATTTCTCTCCAGGATGGAGTCACAGCAAAACAGGAACAGACCAGATGAAGCTACTATGAGAAAAAGCAGAGAGAGCAGAATGTTAGAGATTGAACTAACAGATTCTGCAGAGTGGGAGAATAGAGATAGAATGAAGCAGAATGATGAAAAAGGGGTCCCTATGTCCTCCAGCAGTCTAAGCCTATAGCAGCAGAACTATAGAGATAGCTCAGGATAACCTGAGCCACCCTAACTATAAGCTTTATCAAAAAGGAAAGTTTTAAGCCTAGCCTTAAAGTAGACAGGGTGTCTGCCTCACGGACTAAAACTGGTAGTTGGTTCCACAGGAGAGGAGCCTGATAACTAAAAGATCTGCCTCCCATTCTACTTTTAGAAATTCTAGGAACCACTAGTAAACCTGCAGATTGAGAGCGAAGTGCTCTGTTAGGAACATAAGGAACAATCAGATCTCTGATATCAGATGGAGCTTGGCCATTTAAGGCTTTATATTGCCAACCTGCTGCCAACCAGAAGGTGGCAGCAGTGTCAACAAGTCTGGAGGTATTATCCTAAGACAGAAACACAGGAAAAGCAGCGATTTTGGTTTGTTAGCAGGATCAATTAAAACTTCTGTAACGGATTTTAATTTTTCGCCTCATACCAACGATTAATTCATTAAAATTAGCTGATCATCCAGATCATGTTTGAGTTTTGGTTTAGGTGGAAGTCACCATATGGGTCTGATTGGCAGAGTCTGATCTCTGACTGCTTTAAGTATTGAAGTGAAACGCAAACAATTCAGTTTAATCAGAAGGTTTAAGTTTAAAGTGCTTAAAGAACAAGAACATTTATTAACTTAAGTTTGCAGAAATTTTACCAAATAATAAGTTTCGAAGACTGAAATAGTTTCAACATTCACATTTATAGTGGTGATACATTCTTATATACGATTAATATAATCATATTTAAGCCTATAGTCAGACTTTAAAGTTTGTGGGGTGCAGTTTCTGATTTATTTTAAATCATTGACATTACTCAAAAGATTAAATTCTTACAGCTATTGAAATTATATTTCTACTGCCAAAACATTTTGAAAACCTCAAATTTCCACAGAATGAAAATACATACAAAGCAATAAATACATCAGTTCATATTAAAAAAGTGATAAAAGACGGCGAGGCCTAGTCCTCAACGTGGCGTCACACCTTCAACTTCCTCCCCTTCACCTTTGCCGCATGTCTTCCCCTCTCTCTCCAATCCCGCCCCTTGTCTGGCTATTTTTGAACAATACAAAAATAAAAACCACTAGAGCAAAAAAAAAAAAAAACGAATTAAAGACTTTTGAGTTTTTCAGAAAGGAAGGTTTTCAGTTCCTTCCTGAAGAGCTACAGCTGATATAAACACAAATAAACGGCAATTTGATAAATATGATGCAAGAAACAGAGCCCAGACCAGGTAGAATAGAATAAAATAGAATAAAATAGAATAGAATAGAATAGAATAGAATAGAATAGAATAGAATAGAATAGAATAGAATAGAATAGAATAGAATAGAATAGAATAGAATAGAATACCATCAGAACTTAACAGATTCTACAGATAATTAGTTATGATGATAATCTTAAAAGTCTGAGACCAGTTCTGACCCAGTCCTTCACTCACACATGATCAGGTCCTTCCTTTCTGGCGTCTGAAGGACAATCTGACCTTAAAGTTCCTCTGAATGGACTCAGAGGTTACATCAGAACCACAGAGGCCCTCCTGTTAGAACGCTCAGAACATCAGACCCAGAATTCAGGTGAGACAGACAAATATATATTTAGAAGAGCATTTATGAAAGTGCGGCTGCTCGTCGGTCCAGAAGCTTAAATAGCAGCAGGTGAATGAGATGAGAGCTGATGAGCAGAGGGCGGAGCCAAGCAGGGCAGAACAAGGAAAAAAATGCCTCAAGATCATTACACCTGTTCAGCATCTCCATGCTGCCCTTAACTTAGATTTTAATAAACAGAATCAGTTACCATAGCAAGGCAGAAGACACCCAGTTGTTCATCAACATGCCACCAGGAGACTATGAACACATTCCGGATCATTTAAGGGACGAACAAAATGTTCTTCAGCTGATTTAAACTAAACTGAAGTCTTAGTTTTTGGACCAGATGTTTCAAAGTTAGCGCTTCAGCTAATCCAGCTGTGATGCTCCCACACCTAAACCTTCAGAGGCTCATAAACACAGGAACAAACTCAGCCTTCTGTCACCTGAACAACATCTCCAGGATTGAAGGACTAATGTTGAAAGATTTCCTGCTTTGTTCCAGAATTGATTCCTGCATCGGTTGATCCAGAACGCTGCTGCCTGCGTCCTCACTAGAGCTAAGAAAGTAGAGAACATCAGTCCACTTTTAAAGTCCTTCCCCTGCCTCGCAGTAGATCAGAAAACAGACTTTAAAATCCTCTTATTAGTCTATAAATCAGCGAATGGCTGAGCTCCATAATGTTACAGACTGGTTGGCAGGGGATCAACAGCCAGACCTCTCAGCTCTACTGGTTTAGAACCAGAACCAAACATGGAGACGCAGTTTTTAGCTACCCTGCTTCCCTTTTATCATTCTATTTTAAATTGTAATAATTTCCTTCAGAAATGAAGTCATGTGATGTTCAGCAGCCAATCAGAGCATCTGGGGATGAAGCGCGTCAGAACCGACACACCCAGGGGCCACTTTATTAGGCACAGCAGTTTGGACCTCCTGAGCCAGGGCCGCTGGAAGCCATTTTGAACAGGGGGCGCTGTGAAAAGACCTAGAAGCCTATAAGGCCTATTTAGAATAAAATAAAGATAAATAAGTAAATAAAAAGCTCCTAGCGCCAAATCTAGAGACTTTTTTCTGCTACTGGAGACTTTGGAGACAACATCTAAAAGCAGCGAACTCTGCTCTCCAGAGCAAGTAGATTGGTAACCCCGCCTCCTGCTCTCCTCTAGCTTGTCTGCTGTCATGATTCGTGCAGCTATTATTTCATCCAAATGAAAAATGGAGAACAGATAAGCAGATCATGGCTTGTCTACAGTGAAAAGAAGGACTGGGTTATTTACTTTGGCCTTTTTGGAAACACAGGAAGGAGCAATCAGCTAAGTGAGCTTAGTGCTTGGAAAAGATTTTTCATTCCTTTAGAGACAGCATGAAAAGTCAGCTGAGTACAAAACATAGAGAGGAAAACAAGAAGAAAAGGGACAAGAAGAGAGGAACACAACCTAGAACAGATAATGGATGTCTATTTAACATCTCTGTGTCTCTATAATGGGTCAATTCAGAGGCCCCCCTGCCTGTCTTTGCCTAGGGCCCCACATTTCCTGTATCCGCCCCTGCCCTATACTCATTTCCATTAGTTTGATCTGGCTGATATTTAGCATGTGCATTTATTTATATCTGTTTAGATTAATAGTAATTTCATTTCTGAAACAGTTGCTGCTTCTGATTTGCAGGTTTTTGAACTGAGTAAAGTCCTAATTGGAGTCTGATGAGCAGGGATCCAGTTTTTCTATGCCCCATCATATGACCTTATAAAGTGTTTTATAAGGTCATATGATGGGGCGTCATCACAATTAGTTCAGAGCTGTAATTTGCCATTCCATCCATAAAGATATAAATAATTGCAACATTTCAGCAATATCAAAGAACTGGAAGTGGATCAGGGGCATTGCTTATTGAACGCCCCTCATAGCGTGTCGGCTCATGCCATAAAATTCTGTTTGTTTCCTAGAAGAGAAAATTACCCAATATTTTTTCTCTGAATTCAGTTTTTTTTATATTTTGTTGATTCCAGGTTCATCTCGGAGATGTTGCACATATTTAAATTAAGAGGTCCAACTTCACCATCCTACTGATACCTTTAAAAAAGATGGAGACCTTTTAGAGCCACTGATGATCCAACCATCTGGTTCTGAACAGAATCAAGAACCCGACCCGCCTTCTAACCAATCAGAACACCTGAGCTGCTCATCCTGACCCTGCTTGAACCAGGCCTGGTTGGTTCTGGCAGCTGAAGCAGCTCTGCAGGCCTTTAAATGCCTGAAGGCATCAGAATCATTTCTGGCCTCCTTTCTGCATCTCTGCTGCAGCCAACAAGATGATCTAATATGGTTAGAA